CTTTTAATCCTCTAATTGATCAAATTTTTTTTTGTATATTAATTTTCATTAACCTTCAAACGCTTTCTATAAGGTTTAGTTTAGAGACATTGATGGCTAAAAAAGTATCTTAATACTATTTTCTTTCTTCTATTTGTTCATGATTTTTGATTGATGTTTTAGATTATTATTTTTTTACAAGATCCAATCTATATTATCTTTACCAAAAGTTTAGAGGTGGAAGTTAGAAGACCTTATTCATAAATAGTATATATAAATTAAGGTTCTTCTAAAAGCAAAATAACTTACCAAATTCAGAAGCAGAAAAACATCTCTAAACATAAACTTTTGGTGAATACTTAATAGAACAAAACACTTTTTTTTATCAGGAAACTGTTAAACCTTTTTTTGATGTATATAATTGAAATGTATTCTCATCTGTAAAAATAACTCAATTTCAATCAAAAATTTTATATTTTTTGCCTATTGCAACCTTTTCTTTTAATGGTCTTCTTTAAGCAAAGGTTTAGAAATTTTATTACTAAACTTTCTTCTAGACTTACAAAGACATTGCCTTATTGTTTCTATATTAAGCTCAACACCTCTTTTTATTTTTCTTATATTTAAATAGTTATTATATTATGTTCTTTTTCTACTATTTTTACAATCTTGTTATCTTATTTCACAGTTATTACACAAGGTTATCCTAATCTTTTTGAAGTACTTAAGTCCCAATTTTCATGATATCTTTTAACCTAATAAATAGCTGTAAACTTACTACAACGTATCTGTTTAGTAATAAATCTAAAATTAAATTTTAGACTAGCTAGATGCTCACGTAAAAAGATAATTTTATATTAATTTCTAAAGAAAGCTCCATTTTTCAAGCAAAAGTTTGATGATCATCTAAATTTTTTTTATATTATTGACACTTATAAATTTATTAGTAATTATGTATTATATAACATTATATTTCTGAAAAATTTAAGGGATAATTATATAATAATTTTGAATGATCTTAGGTAATCAGATACTTATGATCACTACTGTAAAAAATAATATATTTATATCATTTATTTAAAATAATATATTATCATTTAAATTGAATGATTTTTTTATTATTTTTTTAAAATAATATTTTATCATCTAATTGAACAATTCCTTTATTATTCTTTTAGAATAATATTTTATTATTCTAAATAAACAATTTTTTATATTATTTATTTGAAATTATATATTATCATTCTAATCAAATAATTCTTTTATTGTTTCAATTAAATAATTATATTATTATTTGTCTAGATTAATGTATTATTATTTCAAATAAATAATGTATTATTGTTCTTTAGAAAATATATTAAATATTTGAATTTAACAAATTAAAAAATGATTTATTGATTTTAATTTAATGTATTATTTGAGTTTATTTTTAATATATATAGGATATTTATATAAATAAGCTTAATTTTTTATTTTTAAAAAATAAATTCAATTTATACTTTATCTTTTATAATTATTTTCAAATTTTTTTTTATATATTTTCAAAATATTAAAAATAAATTATTTTAAGAACAAAAAGAACTTAAGTTGAATTTTATCAATTAAACAGTTAATTTTTTAAATAAAAAATTATTTTTTTTTTTATTTTCTATAATAGAAATATATCTTAAACTATTAAAATCAGATAAAAAAAAGCTAAATTAAAATTTTAGTTAACTTTTAAAATAATAAACTGATTTTGTTACTTTTTATAATAAAAAAATTTTTTGATTATCAAAATCAGATGAAAAAAAAACTGATTTTTAAGTTAAATTTTATTAATCAACCAGTTAATTTTCAAATAATAAATTGGATTTTTTTTTTATTTTTATAATAGATAAATAATAATTTTAAGTGATTTGATAAAAAATGATATATTTTTTATTTTTTATTATTTTATTTATTATTTTTATATTTTTTAAACAATTTTGAAGGATTTTTAGAAGGAAAATAAATTATTTTATTTTTATTTTTTAAAAAAGGTAATATTATAATAATGAATATTTAGGATGAATAAGGGAAAATGCATTATATTTTTATTATTATATTATTATTTTACATTATTTTCTTTTTTTTTGCTTATATTTTTAAATAGTAAATTAATTAGTGAGTTTTGATAATATTTTGTTATGTTTTGCAAATTATATTAGGTTTTTATTATTTAATATTTAATAAATTTGATAAATAAAATTTATCAATTTTGTATACTTATTTGACTGAATTGATATTAAATTAAGGCTAATTTTAAGCTGATTTATAATTATTAAAGTTTTAAATTGATATTAAATTGATGTCAATTTTAGGCTAATTTATAATTATTTAAATTTAAAGTAATGCTGAATTGACATTAAATTAAGATTAATTTTAAGTTAATTTATGATTGAATTTAAGTTTTGAATTAAAGTTAAATGAATAGTATATCTGTTTAAAATCAATCAATATATATTTATACTGATTAAAAAATATGAAAATCAGCTATAAATAGTATCAAAATTAACCTAAAATTGACTAACTGATTTTTAGTTGATTTGGACTATCTTAACTAGTATATAATTTAGAATATTTGAATTTCTATTTAACAAAGCTATTCTTTTTTATTATAATATTGAAGATATTTTATAATTATAAATAAAGTGAGTTTAAAAATTAGTTTTAAAAAAATGCATTTAAGCTTATAATATTAAAAAAAGTAAACTTTATAGTATTTATTAATAATATATAAAATATTATATCTACTATATAGATGCCTGCCGAAACCTCCTCAAAATAATTTCGTCATACCCTTTTCTATGTTTTTAATATAGTTTCGACAGTTTCGGCTTTCGTCATATCAAATGGGTTTCGTCGTATCCCTTATTATGATTTAAATATAGTTTCGTCTAAGTTTTGACTGTTATTAAGGGGTTTCGTCCCTCATCTATAATCTACTATAATTTGAGTTATATGATTTTTAATAAACTTTTATTTATAGAAGATTATAATACAGTATTTATTTGAGACTATGCCTATTATCTGAATTGCTATAATAGAAAATATATTTATTGTAAAAATTTTATTAAAAAGGAATTTATAAAAATATTGATTTATTTTAAAATTAATTAAAAAAGAAATTGTAAATACACTTATCTTAAAAAATCTTAATAATAATAACTATGATGATAATAATGAAGAGGCAATAATAATGATAACATAAAAAATAAAAAGAATGAAAAAGTAGTATAAAAAATTTTTATTCAGATTTATAATAAAAATTAATAAAATAAATTATTAGTAAATATAGATTAATATAAAGCAAAATAATAATAAATATAGTACTTCAATTTAAATAACTTTAAATATGTTTTTTCTTATCTATTTTTACCAAAAAACTTTATAATTAACCGTTTACTATAAGAAATTTAAACATTACATTTCATAGCCATTTATTATAAGAAAAACTTAATTTTAAGAGAACTTGCATATGTTAATAGATTATAAAAATAGATCATTACAGTTTGTCATATAATAACCAAAAACTAAGCAAGTGAAATTTCACAGAAAACAAATAAATTTTTAATGCACAATCTATAACACATTTTTTTTCTTATATATAGTTTATATAAATTGTATAACATTCATATATAAGTCATACACATGAGATTAATAGTACCTTGACCAAAGTTGTTTACTTTAGTATCGCCAACACTTTTTTTACCCACGTGATTTTTTGGCCGGCATTACTGAACTTGGCCTAAATTATACGTGTGACCTAGTGACAAATTATATAGAGTCACGTGAGTTTGACAACAGTGTTGGCGATACTGGGATCTTCAATTCCAAGGTAATCGATGAATCGAAAAGTAATTTGGGCAAAAACCTTGCTTCAATTAAATACGTTTTAGCAAATTCAATAACGATCCTCCATACGGATACCTAAAAAAAGCCTTAAAAAGGTAAAATGGTTTTATATGGAACTTTTTTATGGTATGGAAGGATCAATTTACCAGCTTTATAAATTTCGTGTTTACTTAAAAATTTTTTTTTTTATCCTAACTTTTATTAAAAATTCCAATATTTATAACAATCGTGCACTTTCGTTATTTATATATAATTTTGTATTATAATGGTCATTATGGGAATATAAATACGTAAAAGATGTAATAGATGTAATTATAATACAAAATATAAAGAAATTAAATATAGATATATAAGTAACTAAATAAAGATATATATACCTAACATTATATTAACTTTTGATCTTGAAAGCGAACGAGATTCCATTCCATAATTTATTACCATAAGCTGCACACAATTTATTACCATTTTTATTTGTATTTCGAGAGTAGGCACTATTATAAGTATCATTGATTGCCGTATCAACCGATTCCGGATCTGATAAGGCAGGCACGCTCTCTAATAAACATTTCATTGTTTCCACGCGTTTATGAGTGGCGGCAAATACAAACGCGTTTGGAAAATGTGAATCTTTTGGCATCGTTTCTACTCCATAATTTATCAAAAATTTGATATAATCGGGGTCATCCGCCAACGCTATCGTAGCGAATAATATGTTTGGAAGTTTGTGTAATTTATGATTTATGGATGGTGATGATGAAATCGGCTTAGAGTTGTGATTTGGACAGAAGGTACAATGTTGACATCCTCCCTTTTCTCTCAACGGTCTAGGTTGAGGTATCCTAATATTTGGATTGGCACCTTTTTCAAGCAATTCTTTCACATTTGTCATGTCAGGGGGAACCCCACCAAATTTTAACCGGTCCACGAATAATCTCTTCAGTATGTAATTCAATTCAACATGAGACAGCTTCTTGGGAGGTTGAGGAGGTGAAGGAGCAACTTCATTCGAGAACGGAACTAATTTATTCGCAATGTCCTGTATTATACCACCACGAGCCCTTTGAAACGGTTCCGATAACTTTGGGGTCTTCCACGCAGCATTTTGACCATTTATGATGGTGGCGACCAAGAATTTCCTTAATGATGTCGGGTCTTGAAATATTGGGGGATCCGGTAACGGAGGACCGAAATAAGGCACCCCATCCTTACACACGACCTCCACGCGATAACCAATTTGGGTACTGGTACGACCTCCAAATTCATTATCAAGTTCGAACACCACGGGACTAACGATCACGTAAACATGCAAGAATTGTGAACGAATAGAAGAAGGCGAGAAAGGTTTCGCCACATCCTGAAATATGATACAAACGATGTCATTTCCGATATGACGTTTTCTCGTGATTTGGTATTTATTCGAGGTTTCATACGGGAGCATCGTGCTAACGTGATACATGATCTCATAATTTTTAATGGTTTCGTCATCATAAACCGAATAGTCCCCGGTCTCGTTCGTCTTTGTGTCCAGGCCACCCGAAAATCCTCCAAATTCCGATAATTTGACTTTTGTTCCCAACAACTCCAAGAAATCCGAGAAAGCATCCGATGTTAACGTGTTCGAAAACCACTCCTCTTCTGTCGTCTGTGATGGAGCGCAGTATAACACCCCTACTTTGTAGGTTGTTTGAAGTCTATCCTCATCGAGGGCAAGCAACTTTTCGGATAATTCTGGTGTCGTTATTAACTTTTTGAGACGTGGTTGAACTAATTCACGTGAAATCATTCTCAATAACACATCCCAGGGAGGGTCGTTAAGGGGACTTGGTGGCGGAGGACCCGCCAACACACCCCGATCATCAGGCGATTCCTTTTTGCGTAAAATATATCTATACCAATAGATATTATCGCGATTATTATTAATGGTTGTCCCATCCAACATTAACGAAACGATCACCGTACCGTATGATTCAGTGATTCCTATAAATGTAGGATGTTGCTTTTGAATAAAATATTTCCGATACCATATTGCTTCTACGTCAACATGTTCTATCGGGTATTCTGAATGTGTTGGCGAACTTATCAAGGCATTTGAGGTTGGCGAGTAAAATTTTTCTGCTATGGGAAGGTACGGCTAAAAAAAAAAAAAAATGAACGAGGATTAGAAGAGGTTGATCGAACGATGATTTTTAATATCAAAAAAAAAAAAAATGACCGTTTTTTCAAAGCACCTGAGAGGTTATTGTACTCGCGGCGGTGAACGTGGAAGTAACGGATATGCTCGTATCGCTAGTACGTCTTCCGTAACTTTGTTCGCTATCGTCGACAAAAGTCGAAGTTGGTGAAGTTGGTGAATATGGTGGATAATAATTGTGTATAACGCTCATGATGTGAATATTAAGTTTGAACTCATTAATGATTAAAAAGTCGACTATATATATATATAGTGTGTGGGTTTTTTAATTATTATTATTTGATTATTATTATTATTATTATTATTATTAATAATTTTATTATTTTTTTTCTTTTTTTTTTTTTTGTCTTTAAAAAAAAAATAAAAAAATAAGTAAATAAAAAAAAAAAATTAAGTGAGAGAAAAGAAGAGGAGGATGGGAAAAAAAAAAAAAAAAAAAAAAAAAAAAATCGATCAAATAAAAAAAATAAAGATGCAAGTCGAATTTAAATGGATATCACCCATAATGGTTTTATTAAAAAAACGGGCCGGTGTTCCAATTTTTGGTGATTCAAAGTTGATCGTTTATCAAAATGAATGAACTTCATTGAAATTCGGATTAATATACAACTTTCCTTTTACGTGGGTTCAAACTATGCACCTACCTTATTGGTGATAAGGTTCCTATTTTATAAAAATGATTGTTGTGCATGCAACACTTTTCACACCTTTGCACTTTCCACACATTCCGTAAAAATGTAAATAATGTTGCACGAACAGATAAAACGAGTTAACATTACGATAGCCGATTTCCATTGGTGTTTATAAGGATTAGGTTTATTGTGTAAAGAGATGATTTATTTGTTATGTTGTATTTTATCGTCATTCTCATCAAATTTACAGGGTACACGTGTATTCCAGGTGAGATTTTATCGAATAATTTCCTAAAGCGAGCGATTTGATACTGCGCAGATGATTAACTTATATTAAGGTAATGTAGAATGAATGTTCAATATTGGTACATTTATTTTAAATAATAATATTATTATTTTGAATGGAATTTTTATTTGAATATCTTCATGGAAGGTAGAATAGGAATATGTTGTCATAGTATGGAACCCTAACTATAATTAGTTACATTTTACCCGTTGCTACCCGAAAACGTTTGTTTTAGTTTAATTTATTGTTTGCATTTTAATCACACGTCTTCTTCAAATTTCTAAAAGGTTCGTGATAAAGAACAAATGACCTAATAATAATAAAAAAAAATCATTGCGCCATCTCTCTCACGCCTCTTTCTGCTTTCGACATCATGTCATATTGCGATTCGTAACATTTTTATTCTAAACAAGGGCAAAAAAAAAAGGGGGGGATTTCGGGTGTTCGATAATTGACAAAAAATCAAAAAGTATAAATGGTTCCGAGGTTACAATTTTTTTTAATAAAAAGAGATATTGTTATGACCGAAGAGCTTTTTGGAATGATAATAATATTCATTTTGTTCGGCGGAAAATCGGAAAATCGGATTGCTTTTTTTTTAAAAAAAACAAGGGGGTAAATAAAAATGGTTGATTACAATTAATTGAAATCGGCTAAAAACTAAAATAATAATATTTCATTCGCAAATTGGACATGTTACATCATATCTTATCAATCTTATTAACCGATTCGCATAAAAAAAGTGAGCCAAGATTTGAAAGCCACGTGGTTCATCATGCCTTTAATCATTCGCTTCCTTTTTTTTTCTATCCTTCTTTTTACCCCTAGATATCATAGTTAAAAACCCTGAGCTTAAGAACATCTTGTTCAAGCCGGGTAATCAAGCGCCTTTTCATATTTCAAAATAAAAAAAAAGAGAGCGACTTTCAAAAAATTCCTTTTTAAAATGAAATTAATGATCACTTCATCTTCAACGAATCTCCATCATGAGGAATTAAAAGAGATCGACAATACTTTTAAAAATAGAAGTTTGGGATTTGAGGTCACGTGTTACTATAGACATTTATATGGTACACGCGACACATGAATTTTATTATTGGATAAAAAAAAATAATATTATTAGGAATACCCAATCCTATCGGTTCTTCCTTATTAGAAAGAAAGTTTAAATTAACGAACTAATAAATTTCCTTATTCTTGAATAAAAGAATTGACGACTATTAAAAATAAGGAATTTCCTAAAATGGAGAATCAAATATTTTGAATGAAAGCTTCCTAAACGAGAAATTATACATAATATCTTAAAAAAAAAAAGGATGCACGATAACGAAGTCACACAAATGTAATTAGTGATCACACGTGATCGGATGTTCATTCATTTCGTGGTTCATTCAATGAAAAATAAAATGAGTATGAATAACGAGGGACTTTACGGAATTGGGTAATTCATAATGAATTATTTACAATGACGAATTTTCTATCGAACCTTCTACTGTATAATATCATGTATTACAATTAAACTCCACAAAATCATTTACCTAAATCTAACATTAACCGTTTTTATTGTAACGTGACAAATTTATTAGAAACCTAACCTTTGAGACCATATCATGTTTCCTAATTGGTCGCCGTGGGATTAATTTAATGTTCTCATAGGCAATAAGTGATAGATTGACTTTAAATAGGAACAATTGATTAGAAAATTCGTGATATAATATTCTTACAGTCAGCCCGTGAAAATTACGTACGTGATAACCGTGACCTTTTGTTTTTAGTATTATGATGAGTAATCATTGGGTAATAGGTAATAAAAAAAAAATGATCAAGATTGTATGAAAATTTTCCGAAACCTGATTTTTTCTAGTAATCAATCCATAAAAAGTTTGACATTAACTTCCCTTTTTTGTATTAATTATTATGATAGATTAAATTAATTAATTATATTAAATCATTTTATTGGTAACTTTCTTTTTCAAAAGAAAATGTTTTATGATTCAGAACCGTTTACCTTTCCTATCCGGAATTAAACCATTTGATTGCTTTCTTTGAATCCTAACAACTTGCCTGTAAGACTCGGAATGTTTCACAATTAACCGAATTTTTTCCTCGTTTGACAACGTACGGTTTATTTTAGAACGTATAAACCGAAATTTATTAAACCGAAATTTCATGAAAAAAGGAATTTCTCCATGTACATTTCATTCATTCATTTGAAAGCGAAAAATGATTAAAAAAAAAAAAAAATTGAAAGAATCGTTATATACATGTACATTATATTGTCAGCTGTAGTGAGACAAAAAAAAAAAAAATTTCTTGCGATCACTCAAAGTAAAAATAAATTTAGTGGTTTAAATTTAAATTATAAAAATAACTCGTTTCCTTATGGAATTATCATTCTCTCAATCATT